CTCATGCGATAAGAAATAAACATGGAACGTTTGGAGGAGCAATATATATATAAATCTAGATAACTGTTTTAGATAAGTAGTTCCTGACAAATTTTTTTATTTTCCTTGAAAGTTTTAAATTACAAAGTAGTAAAACACTGAAATGGCTACATCATCAAAAATTATACATTTTTTTTATTTTTTAGAAAAGTGTAAAAAATAGAATTGTTTAATAGAATTTAGAGGATAAACTCTCATTGTGAAAGTTGCATTATAATACGAAGAAATTTAAAGTCACACTTTTAATCGGGATTCCGAAAGACGACGTACGTGTGGAACGTAGGACGCGGGACGTAAGTCAGGGTTAAACCGGGTGGGTACACCGTGAAAGCCATGTACCTCTAAAAATAGGTCTGGACCGGTTTAAAAATAACCTCCTCCTTTAGCCCTCCTCCACAACAACGTCCTCTTCCCCTTTGCGAGATGCAGGTATGCAAACATATACGCACTTGTGTGACGGGGATTAAGAGGAAGGTAGAATATTTGCCAAGGTGTACAGGGTACACATTCCAACGAGTGGATTATCAGTGGCGGATGGATCATTCCACACACTCCACTGGAATGTAACCTGTGCAATTCTAATTCCCACGACTAAACCTTCCCCTTTGAAAAAATGAATATTTCATTTAACAGAAAGTTACAGATAAGAAAGCATATTTTCTTGAGCATTATTATAGATGACAAAAATAACACTTTCTGTTTTCAGAAATATCCCAGTGTTATTTGAAGTTATATTTTAATTTTTTAACATTCACGATATCGATGCAGCAATATTTGACAATATCCACATTACAAATCGACTCGTCCAATATATTAAATGCATAATATCGATAGATGTAAAATATATATGAGACAAAATTTCAGAATTGTACTAATTCAAAGAAAAGGATAAAAATAATTTTGACCTATATGTTTTCGAAAGGATTTTTCCTGCTCTTTCGAATGGTGCAAACATTTTTATAAAAAATTCAAAATTTACCCCTTTTTTGAAAATAAAAAATATTTTTGACTTTTTTTAAAAAGGACCCTTTTTATTCATTTTTTTACCCCTTTAAATAAAGTATAAAATATTTACTTTTAATAAACAAATTGAACAAAATGTCGTTTTTTTGTTTTCGAGATATTAATAAATTAATTAATCTTAATAAAAACTTAAATATTTTACAAACAAGTATACAATTAGTATAGCATTGAAATTACTTATTAAAAATCTACTAAGCCAAAATACTTCATATAGTGCTCGTTATTGGATGCTGAGTTACATAAGGTTTTAATTGGTAAAAAAAAATTTTAATTTCCAAAAAAGGGGTAAATTTTGAAGTTTTCACATAAATTTTTGCAGCATTCGAAATAGCAGGAAAAAATCTTTCGAAAACATATGGGTCGAAATTTTTTTCATCCTTTTATACAATCTGGCGTTCCTAAGATTGGCAAGAAACACCTTACCCGATCTGGGCCACAAGATGAAGCCTCATTATGACGCTTCCTAGGTCTGGTCCATATCGAGTGAGACATTTCAAGACATTTTTGGACCAACCTAGTGGGCACACTTGTCCAAAGACATCCTGAGAATGTCTTTTGAGGATTTCTTTTGGACTTCGATTACACTGAGAAAAATGTTTAGTCAGAGCAACCAAAATTTGGTTGGGCCAACAAAAAAATTTTGTTGATATTTAAGCAACCAAACTATTTGTTTGAGTCAACCAAAAAATTTGGTTAAGTGTTTTTTGTTAGCATAACAAAAATGTTTGGTTAGCACAACAAAATTCTTTTTGTTAGGTCAACAAAAATGTTTGGTTAATCAAACAAACAGTGTTTTTTGTAAAATTAAAAATTTTATTCTACCTTATTTCTTTTCTTTTTATCTTTTTTATTTATTTTATTATTTATTTATTATCAATTCAACATTGAATTTATATTTATCCAATTGAAATATTTGTGGACTTTGAAAAAACTAGAATTGGAAGTAATTAGGAGTTGAAGTTTTTGGGAATGAAGTTTTCATTTAACATATTTCTGACATTATTATATCGGATGTTATTGTTATATTATTAAAGTTATAGGAGAAAAATATAGTTATTCTTTAATAAGAATAATCTTCTATTCTTTCTTTTATAAGAAAACTGATATAATATTTGAAATTGTCTAACATATGAGTCAAACAGGTTACGTCAGGATGAAGACTTCAATTTCAAAACCTTGAGATTTCTAAAAAAAATGTTCGTGAAACAAGTTTCTATTTAAAATCATAAAAATTTTGTAACTCACAAGTATGAGTTAAATGCCGATATTTTGTTTTCGTCACGTTTGAAATATCTATTATTAAAGTTTTATTAGAAATACTCTTTTTTAAAGAAAACTATATATTTCTACGCAGAAAAAACCTAGTCTAATTTTTGTTGCAACTCAAAATGAGACAATGCTAAACGACACAGAAAGTGGCGCCACCAACCTGACTCATTTTTGTTGCACATCAAAATGAGCCGCCTACACGACTCATTCTGAGTTCAGCTTTTTCTGTGTAATTAGAATCTTATTTTACTAATATTTTCTGATAACAACATTTATTTTAATGAGAATGAGAAGTTAAGCAGTTTTAAAAAAAGATGTGCAAAATGCACAATGACGTAAGATCGGAGTTATTGAAATACTTGTGCTCGAAACAAGGTTTTATCTTCTTGAAATGCACTGACACTTTGAAACAGTGCCAATAAGAATGTTAGCGAAGTCACGAACGTCACACCATAACTTAAATTATTCATAACATTTTTTGTAAAATTTTTTCTCTTTATAGTTAAACTTATTTTATTTAAAGAAAATATTCTTCGATATATAGTTATGGAAAATTTGTTTGTTTCTTTAATTTCTTTAAGAAAGGAAATAAATAATTGCGTTTTTTAATTATAAAAAAGTATTAACAAAAAAATTTTTTTTTTAAATTTAAAATAGTTATTTATAATACAAGACACAATGGGTCAGAAACGAAAAGGGCATAGGGGGTTAAGTATGCACATATTTGGCTCATATTGGCCGCATGTATTGCTACCCATATGAGTATAAAATTCTGAAAGTATGAACCCAAAATTCAAATTTTTTGGGAGATATGGAGGGGGAAAGAAAAATCAAAAAACTCATTTTTCTCGAAAACTACTGAACCGATTTTAATAAAATTTGTTTTTAAATTTGCAGAGTTTTTCGTCTTTATTTTAGAGACATGATGTATATTAGATTTAATTATTTTTTTACAGTGTACCATATATGAACATTAGTGTGAACCAATCAGCGCGCGTCGCTTTGGTTGCTGCTATAATGGACATTCGTACTACTATTACTATTACTACTACTACTACTACTATTATTACTACTACTACTACTACTACTACTACTACTGTCACCCTATTTTCTTGAGGAAAAATAAATTTCATATTTATTTAGACAAATTTTTTACGCTTCTTGTTTCACTAATCTTCGCCGCGCCATTTTTACTTTTTTGCAATTTTCCTTCCTTCTCCATTTCTTTTTTGTCAATTTTGAAAAACTGACATCAGATTCGTCATTAGCGACCCAGAAAACCTCGAGTGACGAGTTTCAAGTGAATTCGTTGAGTTTTAAAAAATTCGTCCGCCATATTGGAATTTAAAAAAAACTAAAAACGGATTTGTCATCAGCGACCCAGAAAACCCCCGAGTGACGACTTTCAAGTGAATTCGTTGAGTTTTAAAAAATTTGGCTGCCATATTGGATCCGCTATTTGGAATTTTAAAAAACTAGCACCGGATTCGTAATCAGCTTCCCCAAAAACCCCCGAGTAAGAAATTTCAGGCAAATCTGATCAATTTTAAAACTTTTCTTTTAATGGGGTAGTTTTTGATATTTTTCTTTACCCTTGTGGAGAATTTTTGTTACTTATTTTTTATTACAATGTTGACAATATTTGTAAACATATGTAATAATTAAGGCTAAAAAAAATTTTACATATAATTTATACTGTTTTTTCTGAGATTTTTTGACTTTTTTGGAAAGTGTATTTAAAAAGGGGTAGTTTTTTTGAAAACGGTGTGGATATGTATTTGTTACTCTTGGCCAGCCCTTTAAAACGAGACCAAAGCGTAGTTAATATGTCTAAATTTATAAAAGTTATGATTTTTAGAAGTAGGTGGGACATATATGTCCCACTGGCCATTAAAGGGTTAAAGTGTAAGATATATATATATAGCGAGACTGATTGGATTTGATAGAAGTCGGCAGGCAGTCACGGTTGAGCTTAGGATAAGTTCGACTGGGATTTGTGAATATGATATACTTCATGAGTAGAAATTTGTTCGACTGTGGCTTGCATATGTATATGCGATAACCAATAACGCTTCTGAAGGTTGGCACAATCGATTTCAACTTGTTGTTGGCCGAAACCACCCCAGCTTGTACGCATTTTTGGAGGAAGTGCAACAGGAGCAAGGTGATACTGAGTGTCTGATGAGACAACTTGCTCTCGGTCAGAAAGTAAGAAACATTCCGCGTAATTCTTTTCAAATGATGGAAGACAGAATTTTCAGCATTGTTTCACAATATGATACTTACGTCCAAGAAAATCGACAGACTGCTTACATAGAAGCACTTGGTCACTATTCACATTTTTGAAATTTTAATCTTTTTATAACTTTTTGCAACAATCTTTTTACAAATTAACAGATTTTTTTACAGAAAACATTTTATAACATTTTTTAAAAATTTCTGAATATATTAATCTAAATTTTTTACAGATCTTTGAGACACATGATTGTTTACCTCCCCGTGGTGTGTCTTGGAAACAATATTTCTGAAATATTTCAAAATAATGTATATTTCAATAACATTGGCTAAATATCAATCAATTAAATAAATTTTTATTTTTGGACTTTAAATTTTTAGTTTTGGACCTCAAATTTTTAGTTTTGGACTTTTGTATTTTTTGGACTTTTTAGATGTTGGACTTTCTGGATTTTGGATTTCCTAACCTTTGGACTTTTTGTCCTTTGGACCTTTCGGATTGGATAATCGGTCTTGGACCTTTTATTTTGGACTTTCTGTACTGCTACCATTGAGACACGTGATAATACGGAACAATATTCTTGGCAAAAAATTGTAACACAAACACATTGAGTGAAAGTATCTAAAATAAAAGTTATACATAGTAGATATTTAAATGTGTTTCTTTATTTATATATCGTTATTTATTTATATAAAAAAGAGTTTATTATTGTTGGTGTACGGAACCCTGGAATTAGTGCGAGTGTAACTCGCACTTGTCCGATTTTTTAATCTTCATTGAGGTTAAAAATTAAAATAAATAGACATTGTATTATTTTTTAATCTTTATTAACGTTAAAAAAAAATTTTTTCTTAGGAAAACGTCATTTCATAAAAAATAATAATAATAAATAAATAAAAATCATATATAAAAACATTAGAACTAAAAAAATTGTTGGATGAAAAAAAGTCAAAATTTTAAAAAAATACTAGAATTTAGAAAAAAATAGTATTATTCACCTTACACATTTCGGCACCGTTCACTGTAAACATGGGTCACTCGTGCACTTTTCGAAATTCGATTGACACCTGTAACTGCTCTTCACGTATTAAACCTTCAGTACATACTAAGGGAGTATGTAGCCCCTTAGTGTTCTATTTTTTAGGGTATAGTTTGGCCGACCCCCCTATCCCCCCTCCGAGCTAGGAAAGAGTGTCACTTTTCGAAAGGCACGAGTGACCCATGGTTACAGCTTAAGGGTTAAAAAACAGCGTGAAAAACTTTAACACTGCAAATTCACGACGCGAACGGCGTATGGTTAATCTTGACATCCCGTGAATGAAAAATGACGCTATATTTACGAGAACAGCGCATGCGCAATTCAGCATGCCAACAATCTGGTCCTGGGAACCAAACTATTTAGTTCGTAAACAAGAAAGCTTCAAATATAATTTTTGGTAGAGCCAACTAAATTTCCGGATTGATTGCCATTTTCTATTCTGTTGAGATAACCATATTTTAGTACCGCCAACTAAAAATCTTAAACTAAATTATTTTCTTATTATTACGAAATTATTTTTCTCAGTGTAGAAAATTAAGTATAATACATCATGTATTAAAGGCACCCATCTCTGCCTGCTGGACACCCTGGACATACTATATTTTTCGAATTTCTTAAAAAATTTCTTTTTAGTCTCTCATCTATGGGTTTTTAATATAGATTAATAAAAAAAATTTTAAGCACAAAAATTATTTTCATTTACAAGAGAAAACTTTTTTTCATTCGTTAAAAAGAGATAATTAACTCACAGTTTTATATTCTTTTCAAAGTGTTGCTGAAATTTTATGATGTTTATTTTAAAAATTCATCAATTTTATTTTCACCTACTAAAAATTTATTTTGAACTACAGTTGGTGAAACTTTGTTCAAAAGCGCATGTGTAGCCATTTTACCCAACTTTTTGAGTAAACATTATACAAAACATTTTCTCAGTGTAGTTAACTGCATTTGGTAGCATCTGAAGTGCTAAACTTATGCTTACTATAGACATTCAAACATCTAATTATAGATTAGTAATGTAGGATCATATTCTACAGATAGTAAACTAATTTTTAAAGCAAAAAAAATTGTAAAAAAATTTTGTTTTACACGAGTTTCCCCCTTAAAGATGAAATGATTTTTCTTTGTTCGAAAATGTTTTGAGAGTGTATTTTAAAAAAGGTTAAGGATATCAAATGGCTTTTGAAATAGTATATATATATATATAAAGTTAGTCCACCAGCTGCCGGTTATTATTCCTATATGTTGGTTTGGTCCACTTCTGGATGTGTTGGGTCGAAAGAACTGATTCATCGCGATTCATCGTCGATGAATCACGTTTTATGTAAGATGTTTTTAGATTCTGGCACCGATGCAATAAGCTGCATTTTCTTCTGGATAATCAAAATTCGATAATAATCACACGCTTATTAGAAAACAAAAATAAATAACTATAGGTATCTAGATTTAAAAAAAATCTTTTTGCGTTTTTTCTACAATTGTGCATCGATAGGTATCAAGTTATCGATAATATTGATTAATAATTTATTACAATCAGTTTTTTGTTATTATATATTAGGTACTATTTGACGGTGGTCTTGAAGTAGAATAAACTTCTTCTACGTCGACAAAAAAATCATTTGTACCATCTTTCAATGAATCATCTCAAGTTTCAAAATCATCAATTTGTTTGAATTTCTGAAGTTAATTGTGTATGTTTGTATATATGTATATCAGGAACCTTCACATCATCAAAAAAAAAATTCAAAAACACTTTTTTTCTGATCAGAATATTAGAATCAAATTGTCAACTTTGTTTATTTTTGTTTCAGGTACATGAATCAAAACCTCGATCAAACCTCTAGTTTATTTAAGTTTTGATTTTGAAATCAGATTCAAAAATTAACTTTCTATTCCGTTTGTTAAACGAAATGAAAGTAGAATGTACGTAAATAAACTTAATTAAAAGTAAATTCTACACAGAAAAAACTGAACTCAGAATGAGCCGTGTAGGCGGCTCATTTTTATGTGTAACAAAAATGAACCAGGTTGTTGGCGCCACTGTCTATGTCGTTTAGCATTGGCTCATTTTGATTTGCAACAAAAATGAGACTAGGTTTTTTTTGTGTACTTACGTTTCATTTAATTTCTGTATTATCGATAGGTAGAACATTCGCTACTGCTAACTACTTTTTAGTTTTGCTAATGGCAATAAGTACACAAAAAAAACCTAATCTCAAATTGAGTTCAAAATTTATACTGAATTTGATGCGCATCAAAAATGAGACAGGCAGATGGCGCCACGTTCTGCCATTTAACATGAATTAATTTTGAGATACAACAAATATTAATCCAACTTTTTTGTGTGTTGAGTTACTAAGAATTGGTAGTGGAATTAACTGTGGCGGAATTGTGCAAAGAAAGAGATCGCTGTTTAAGAGAAAATACTTGTTGGATTTATTTAATATATCGACCTTACGGGAATTCTCTCTTGATTGAAATCGTGACAAGAAAGCTGTGGCTAAGTTATCATTTTGTTTGATTGTATCGTGTTTCAAAAGGTTATCCTTTTCCCTTTTTTTACTAATCTCGACGAAATCTTCTCCAAGATTGTCGATAATTGATTTTTTTAGAGTTTTTTGGGAGTGATGTAAAATTTGTACCGAGGGGGAATTTACTTTGGTAGTCAAGTGTACACTTTCCTGGTAATACTCGGTAATAGCTGTAATATTTTGTAATGTCTTGTAATAATAAGTATTATTGTGTAATACTATGTAATACTTGTAATATTGTGGTATTATGGTGTAATACTTTAAAAAATTTAAAGAAAATTAAAGCAAAAACTGTTAATATAAATAAAAATTTTAAATACTTGTTCAAATGTAGCGCGGGAGTTGATGCTGAAGTATACATAGTAACTTTGCCATAGGTGGCGCCCGGCTGGAAAAAACTTGTACAAAAAAATGTACAAGTTCTTGTACATGTTCATTAATGAACTTGTACATGTTCAAGTAATGTTCTTAAACAAGTTCAGCATCCGGAATTGAGATATATGTTCTTGTACCAGAACTTGTACAAGATTCTGGACAAGAAAATATACTTGTACAAGAAAATGTACATGTTCTTGTACATATTTCTTTGTGCAGGTTTCATGTAAATTTTCTAGTACCAGAGGTGGAACATGTTCTTGTACATGTTCATTTATGTCTTTTAAATAAAAAGTTAAAACTTTAAACGCTGCGCAGTAGTTTTCTTAAGCCTTTACAACTGCGCAATAATTTTCAGCATGCATAAGTGAAGAGTCTTAATAAATATAACTTATTAAAATTTCAAATTTTTTTCAAAAACATTTTTGAACAAATGTTCTTGTGCAAGAACATTAACGTGTTCATATAAAAGTACTTGTACATGAATCCTGCACAAAAAATATGTACAAGAACATGTCTCAATTCCGGATGCTGAACTTGTTCAAGAAAATTACTTGAACATATAAAAAGAAAATGTACAAGTTCATTAATGAACATGTACACGAACTTGTACATTTTTTTGTACAAGTTTTTTCAGCAGGGCAGTATCGAATGTTTACAGAAACAAAACAAAAGATGGTTCTTTAGTAATTGGCCGAATTTTAGCTTTTAGCTACCTTATCGGAATAAGTAAAAAAATCGAGTACAGTAAGACATCTGGAGTGGGATTACAAATAGCGACAGCGCTACGAAGATTTCGCTACGTAGCGATTCAAAGCTACATTCACTTTAAAAAATTTTTTAGCTATCGGGTGACTGAAAAAAATAGTATCATTTTAATAGATTTAGGTTTGTGATTGTTTTTCTGTGTATTTTTTTCTCATAAGTATTTGCTCTATTTTATAATTTAACAATTTTTTTTTAGAATCAAGGATGTATCTTTATAAATCAATTTATAAGGATTTCCTACGATGAAGAAAGAAGCAATTAAAAGAAATATCTAAAAGCATGTCAAATTCATAAAGTGTAACACTTCAAATCTCAAAAGTTATAAAAAAGCCAATTTAAGGCAAAGATAATTCTTAATATTATTATATTAACACTTTTATTTATAAATTTAAACCTTAAATTTTTTTATAATTAATAATTATAAACTATATAAAACATAATAATAATAAAGAAACAAGATGTAAATTCAGATGTTTATTACATAAACATTTTGCTTCCTCTTTACGATCAGCAAAAAAATTTACTTCCTATCGTGCAAGATGTTACAAGTGAAGAGAAAAGCGAGGACGAAGAAGATGAAGAACTCGAAGAAAATATCGTCAGTGAACTACCTACTGCAATCAAGGCCTTAGAAGTTGCTTCCTCGTTGTCCCAGTTTGTACATGGTAGTTTCGAAAGTGATAAGATTAAAAGTGCAATGTCCAGTTTTCACAATGCAATAAGAGACTACTACTATTCAAAAAAAGTGTAAAAGCAGACAAAAATAAATGACTTTTTACTGTAAATCCAGAAATCCAGAATACAAATTTTATTTGAATTACAAGAGTCTATGTATAAAAACAAATTTAATTTGAAATACATTTGTTTCACTTCACAGCTTATTGTCCGTTTACTATGACGTCCGCTTAGTATGACCAAATTTCTATGACCCTTCAA